AGGATGTCAGCCGACCAACACTCGCTACCCGCTCCCTGGTAGGAACCAGGGTAGGAATGAACTAGCAGCCAGTACAGTACAGTCCTCTCTGGTCTAGCTAACATTTAGCCGTGTTACTTACTGATCCATTAGAAAGCTAGCTAGCTGGACATCGGTTTTGAAGTCTCTTTGGTCACGGAGCTCCCTCCATCTCTTGAACGCCTGCCTGAGGTTTACTCTTGTTTTTCCCTCTTCTTTTATCACTCTCCTTTTTGCTCTTCTTTGCCTCCTCAGACAGAGGAGCTCCTTCCTCTGTCCTTCCTCATAAGGACCAGCTCCAGTCCCTGATTGGTTGACTGACCAGTTTTGCAATACATGACGCGTTTCCTGCCGTAAAGCAGATTTTTTCCGTGAAATTTGGGCACCGGTGGCAGAAGCTTATTACAAAGATTGCAAAGCCACTAAGTAACCTATGTAAACGCTGATAGTCTGATTTTACTGTGGCCACTACCCTGTGCAACCCACATTATTTTCATAATGATATATTTAGGAAAATATGCTATCTGTTGCCTCTTTAACAGCCTAAATAAATAAAAGATTTAAATCATTTTACAGCGCTAGATTCATTTGAAACGCCATGGAAAACGACTTTTTAACTCCCCCCACAAACATTTTTGATTCTTTCAAACTACACTGAATTCAGGCCTACTTGATACTTTTATACTCATGTTATAGTTTTGTGTCCTGCAAACCTTTAAACCTCTGCAGCTCCAGTGCTGTGTGTAAAAATGTACAGCCCTGACATCTATTTTATATAATTTTTCATTGACACGTGCAGCTGTTTCATTTCAAACAGGAGAATAAAATCCCTGTTTTTGCATTTTATTATGATCACAGTCTGTTTTTATAATAGTGCTTGTGGCATCTCAAATGTGGCTTTGACTTGCAGCTGAAAATATCTCCCATTTTATAGAAAATATTGATATATATCGTGCAGCAGCAGTCAGCCTGTAAATACAGAGATATGAAGTTTTTGTCCATATGGCCTAGCCCTACTTGGAAACGTGTTGGTTCAACGCGGTGATCTCTGTGGATTAAGACTCATTCTAAGATAACAAAAACACGGTTCTTATTTTCAGGTGATTGTAGATTAAAGAAAATGTACTTATTATATTCGACTTCTGCCAATATTTCCCCCTGAATTCTACACACTGAACCTTTAAGACTGCAGGACATCTTTGTTACACAGTTGTAATAACAGTCTCATAATCTCTTTCAGATACCCAATTTTCTGCATTTGACACCGGCAGCCATCAAGAAACACTGTGAAGCTCTGAAACGTAATTTCTTTGTTTAATTGTAAAGATAAAAAGCTATATTTTTGTGGAGCAGCAACATGTTATCAACTTTAATACAAATATAAAAGCCTATTCAGTGTCTGTAAAACTGTCTTTCTCCGTTTTCAGCATTCTGCACAGAGTGGCCCTCCGCCTTGGACACTGACGCCAAATGTGACGAGCACTTCCCCATCAAAGTAGAAAGCACAGACTACGTGTCTGCCGGCCCGTCCATCAGAAACCCTTCAGCTCGGGTTGTTAATCTCAAAGTGAGTCTCCCGGCTGTTCTGATGTTTTACACTTCATAGTTTTTATAAAAAAAAGTTTTGACACTTTTACCTGATGACCTTTACTTTAACCGTTTCATTGGTGTATAGAAAGTCGTGTGTGGAGAAACCTGACATGTAAAATGAGATTAGAGATTTGCAGGGATGCGTAATCACCAGCTGACATCATGTCCCTGTGACTTATCCAGAGAGACGTTCATTGTCCAGTGACCTCAAACCTAAGAAATGATGCCATCAAGTCTACAGAGAGATTACAGCCCCATATAGTTATTTTACATTTAGGCATCAGCTCCGTTGTTTTGTGTACGTTTAAGTTCTTCAAAAACGTATTTTTTTATTTTTGTTTTGTTTTGTGTTTTTTCCATCTTCATACTTTACAGAAAACAGTGACAAAACATTGCAGCAGTGACATATTTATTGGGACATTTTGATATTCCTCTTAATCCCCCTGACCACTAATCCAGCCATGTGCAATCCTCCCCACAGACCAGAACCATACATGTAAACATATAAAAACACATGACGATCTGTCCACGAAAAAGATTTACATTTAAATACAATATAAAACCGACAAGTTAAACTTTAATATAGAACAACAGAACAGATTCAGCTAATTGAAATTCAAACATTTTCTACATGGGTCATAAGCAAAAACAAATCATTTGCATAATGTACCTAATATTTTCTAGTTTCAACAATCACATTACTTCTGTTTGAAGGTGTTGGCCTCATTGTTTTGCAGTTACAGGGTGTCTACAGGTCCCTAAAAAGTCCTGAAATGTCTTAGGTTTCCTTAATACAAGGCCTTAAAAAGTCTTAAATTGTCTTAAATTCAGATTCAATGGGTCTTAAAGGGATAGTGCACCCAAAAATGAAAATTCAGCCATTACCTACTCACCCATATGCCGAGGGAGGCTCTGGTGAAGTTTTAGAGTCCTCACTTACGGAGATCCAAGGGAGAGTGGGTAGCAACACAACTCCACCTAATGCAGGCTGACGGCGCCCCAGATTGAAATGTCCAAAAACACATAATTGAAACCACAAAATATCTCCATACTGCTCGTCCGTAGTGATCCAAGTGTCCTGAAGCCCCGACATAAAAAGTTGTTTGGAAAAACGTCATTTGAACTCTTTTGTTAGCCTCATTGTAGCCTGTAGCTCTAACTGCCTCTGTGTACACTGCGTTCACATGTGTGCGCTTGTACGAGACCGTGAGACATCGGCACCGCGTTCATTTGTGTTCACGTGCTTTCGCTGGTGTGCGCGCGGTGCACAGAGAGCCTCCCTCAGCATATGGGTGAGTAGATAATGGCTGAATTTTCATTTTTGGGTGCACTATCACTTTAAACATTTTCGGTCATATTACTGCGGAAATTTCTCTGGTCTGACAGACCCAGTGACTGTTAACAATCATTGAAAAGACCGAAGAATTGCAATAATAAATAGCATTTATGACAGCGATGAGATTTTGTTTTCTTTTTGCATTAAACTTAAACTCACTCAATCGTTGTCATTTTTCCTTACTGTCCATTTTGAACTGGCATCGATGTGTTTACTTGGAAAGAGCACTTACACATGTGTCATACAGACAGAGATAGGTAGATATGTAGGTAGGTAAAATGTGCATTTCCATTGCAGGTTCAGTCTTAAATATCATATAAGGTGGTATTAAAAAGGTCTTAAAGAGTCTTAAATTTACCTTGGTTGTATCTGTAGACACCCTGAGTTAACAAGTTAATATAAAAGGCAGAACACAAATTTTTTGGTGGATGAAAAGTCCCTCATCCAGTTTCACTATGCCACATAAAGCTGTTTTTATCCTGTTCTGTTTTATTCTTCGCTGCTTATATCCACATGTGAACAATGAAGCTGTCCAGCTCAGCAAAACCAAAAGAAAGTTTGCTCCATTGCATGAGGCTACATAATAATGTCGTATACGCTCCAAAACATGTTGCATGAAATCCTGCCTTACATCACTTTAAACTGCCTTTGACAAATTTGTAATTTCCCCAGGCGGAAATGTGTCATTTTTACCATTAATCACCAGCCATCTGCTCCACTGACACTTTGCCTTAGATTATATCAGCACGGTGGGAATTATTCAGACATTAATCCAGGTGGATTAGGCCGAAAAATAGATTAGAGGGCAAATCTCACGCAGTTTCAGTCGAAACAAGTCATTCAATCTTTGAATGACAAACTTCTGTAGCAGGGTTGCCTTCAGTTGTTTCAGTGAGGGAAGAAAATCCTGAAACAAAATCTGTGGCAGGGTTTGATTCAGACCAATCACACGGTTCTACAGTCAACAAACTTAACCACAGGGAATGTGCACCAGGTTTTGTTCACTAAATACATGTTCACATGTACTTTGTATTACCTCTGCATGCATTTTTGTTGCATTTTACAAATGATATAAGTCAGACGAGCTATAAAAAACAATGTAATCAAGGAATAATCTCTGTTTTCCATCTATCCATTGTGCAGGGAGCTTAGAGGTTATTCTAAGCGTGAGCATAAATGATCTGATTTCATTTGTAAAAAGGTATTTGAATCAATACAGTCAAAGTTCTGTATAGGTTAAAACATTGTTCTCAGTTTGTGGTTTTATTTTATCTAACGAGAGGAGATTCATGCAGAGCTTTCAGTGGAAAAACTACTACGGTTTCTCTTGTGGTTATCTGATTGTGTCATTGCCCTCGCAGGTAAAGCTGTCCACTCTGAATCTGGACGACCATGCTCGCAAGAAAATGCTCAAACTTGCCGGGGAGAGATACTGCAAAGACACCGACATCCTCACCATCACAACTGATAGGTGAACACACCTTTCTAGAGGGTTCAGTATACGTGATATTAAAGTAAGGAAATTAAACAAATGCCCTGATTTTTTTTTTTTATCTTGTCCTCCCTCCATCAGCTGCCCATTGAGACAGCAGAATTATGACTACGCCATGTACCTGCTGACTGTCCTTTACCACGAGTCATGGGTGAGTTAATTTTTTTTCCTGTTCTTTTTTCTCTTATCTGCTGTGTCCACTGAAACGAATTCGGTATTGACTGAAGACGACATTGAGCAGGCAGACACATCAGCCTCAGTAACTACAAAGAGGAAAATACTGCCCAGAACAAAATCAGCTTGTTTCAACCATGTCATTCAAAGATCTGTCCTCAGCCCGTAACTTACTCCTAAAAAACTCTTCCAGGTCTTAGCTGAGACACTCTTGCCCTCCCTCTGTCCGCTCTTGTCACAGGTCCCCTGAGACTGTGGTCTCTTTCTCAGTCTCTCTTTTTGTTTACTGACCTTATCTTTTCTTTGAACAAGTATCAGTTCATTTAACCTCTCTAACTCCGCCAGGACACCGACGTCCTCGCTTCCCTCCTCTGTTAAATGGTATCTCCCAGGCGCACTATGTAATCAAACCATGTGATGTTTGGTATTGCCGGATTCAGGAAGCTCTCCACTTTTCAAAAAAACATTGTTTTTCTTTTATTTATTATGTGTTTCGCACCAGAGCAGCCCAAACACAGAAAGTCCAAAATCGCGATGAGTGGTGACAAGTCATGTTATGCCGTTTTTTGTTTGGTCACTGATAGTACTGTTTTGAAGCCGAGTTACTGACTTGTCATTTGGAGCTCCGCCTGGATCTTTTCATGGAAAAAAAAACTGTAGAATGGTCATACTTTGAGCAGTCTTCTTCAAATTTGAAACAAATGTTCATTGATAGTGTGCCTACAGCCCCACAGTGTCATTTACCTGCTCAGATGAAGCCACAGACAGTTATTCATCCTCAAATACATTTTTTATTTTATTTTAGGCAAAATGTTCAATTTTTTTCTGACTTCAGAGGCCCATTACTCTGTCTCTGTATCACCTAGAGTGTTTCTGACATTTTCACAAGAAACTTCAGGGAGTTTTCTTTCTGGCAAGACCTCATGCATGCATGTAGTCAGAGAGGTTCAGAAGCTACAGTCATTTTAATTTGGGTATGTGTTTTTAGCCGTTTATGCTACAAAATGGGGGTGGAATACAAGATTAAAGGCTGGTTGCTCTCTGGCATCACTTGTACCTGCTGTCACTTCAGTGTGTTTACCCTTTTGAGAACTGATCTGATTCACTTGCAGTATACATGAGTTTCACAGTGCCTGCATTAACTGCAGGACACTCGCTTCATGCATTTCTGTGGTATATCCAACCTCCTTCAAATACCCAGGACCAATTGCCACACCTGGGGTGACAGGGCATTTTCAGTTGCTGCCCATTCACTACCACACCACATAAAAAAATGCCCCCACATAGTCAGCTTTCAAATAGGCCCTCAAAACCCACCTCTTCAGAACTACTAACCCTGGCTATACCCCCAGTCTCCCCAGTTGACTCTACTCAATTTTAGTCTTTTATTTTATCGTCTTCAATAAAGAATAAAGAAGTTTTTTTTAAATCCTACTTAATGTAAAGCATCTTTGTGGACTCCAAAAAGTGCTATGTAAGTGTAAGGTATTTACATTATTATTGTTGTTATGATTAATCAGCGTAAAGCTACTGTTAGAAAAGTTATTACAGATGTAAAATTAAATTTTAATAGCACTTTTCACAGACATTATACAACATACTTAAACTAAACATGTAAGTTTTATGAAGAAGTCAAAAACCATACATTTATAACAGTGGTATAATTAGCAAGGAGACTAGTTTTGTGCCCACAGGTTCTAGTATTTTTAGATTTATATTTATTAATGTATTTATTACCAATTGCACATTTTTAAGCTTATAGCCTCTGTTTTTATTTTTTAATAAAACATTTTTGTCCCTTATTTTTTGTGTGTATCTGTTAATTTGGGTGCAAACAATTACTCTTGCAGGGGTGATCAAAATTTGGATTGAATTTAATGGTTTAAGCCTTAAATTTACCGGTTGGTGTTGAGCTGAAGTGCCACTGGAAAGGCATTAAACATGCACAATGGTGTGCAATAAGATTAAGTGTTTAGATATTTATTCCTCCATCTGCATCTTTGGTGACGCATATCTACCTATGGCTAGCGACATGGCTCAGTAGCTTTTACCAGGGGAATTCTTGTCCATCTTGCTCTGCGATCTGAGCGACTGAGCCCATTAGGGAGGTATCAGACTTGAATGGGCAGAGTGATGGCAAACAGCAGCATTGTCCAGTTGACATTTCTCCACAGATTGGGGGGAAACAGGCTCCCCTATCAGGTGTTGACCCTGATACTCTTAATTCACATTAAGCCAGTCATGCCACATCAGAGAAGTCTGCCACCGGGTCATTAGCCCAGGCACTGTTCGCATGAATTTGCAGCCAGCCACATGAAAAGAAAATGACTCCCCTTATTGTGCAACCTTCGCCTTCAGGAGCTTTTCCCGTCATGGCTTAGTCACATTAAAAAAAAAATCTCTCCGCTGGGAAAGGTGTCCGAGCCAGGAAGCAGAACACTGTCCGCTGCCCTTTTGGACACACAATGGAAGGCACAGTGCTTGTCCAGCAGGCTTGTGGAAGCTGTGAGAGTGGCGTAGCGTTCAGGTTGTAACGCTAGCCCACAAAGAGGCCGATTGTTAACAGCCACTGAGGTGATTTTATCTCCCCACTCAGAGACACGGACCTTCCCTGTTAATTCCAGTTTGTGCTAATCCAGGCCAGTGCTGGAGCTGACTGCTCAAGGCTCACCTCTAGAGGCAGTATATCCATTTGTGCCTTCATGCCCAGCACCTGTCGTTTCCCCTAACAGAAAGTCTGAATGTTATTTGGCAGGTGCATGAACTTGATCAGAAAAACAGGTGGCCATTTTGTCTCTTGGCAAGTTATTGTGACCAAATCACTCAGTGATGGACACAAGGACCAACACGGTGTCACTATCAACACTTAAAATGAATTCTGCATATTGTATAAACCTACAAGAACATCTGGAAGAAGGTTAGCATTTGCCAGTAACACATAACGTGAGGATAATCTGCAGATCCTTCGTTGTTGCAGCGAGTCAAACTGCAGACAGTGTTCTGATCTAAAGCTAATACTACTGTTTGGTAGGCGTTTGTTATTTCAAAGGAAGCCACTGATCTATTCCCAACTATCTAGTGCTCCTCCGCACTCACTTGGGCCTGGCCTTGTTTCAGACGGGATGTTATGCGGATCAGATATGTATAGCGGTAATGATGGTCATTAACCTCAAACACCTGGAGAGCAGCAGAGCCGAGTCTCCGTCGCTGCCTTGCTTTAAGCCGCCGCACAATGGGCCGTATTGTTCTCAGGGGGAATGTGATGACAGCTAGACAGGCAGCGGACGGAGCGCTACATATGGAGAAATACTATCTCTGTGAGAGGAGCATCAAAGAAGGGGTGAGGGGGGACCAAGGACCCCCATATTTTGCATCTGTAGGGCAACAAACATTGACCAACAGCCGACCGTTGGCTTGGTGTGTCCGTACCCTTAAAGGTAACAACTGTGTTCTGTTTTTCTCATTCTCCAGAAAACAGAGGCCTGGGAGGCTGAGAAGACTGTTGCAGACATGGAGGAGTACAGCTGGGAGGACAGCCCATCCCAAAAGAACATCTTGAATATGCTAGTACGCATGAAAGTGGCCGGGGAAGGAGAGGGCGAGGAGGTGCGAGAGCAGCTGCTGGGAAGACAAGAGGTTCAGGAGTATAAGGACTGTGTCATGAGGTTGAAGAATGAAGGAGAGAGCGAGAGCAACATGCTGCAGTACAAAGAAGCTGTCAAGAAAATACTCAACTTGTAATGCAACTTAATGTACAAATGTATTTACATGAAGACGACGACCAAGAGTAGCAGGGACCTCTAACAGGGTCCATAAAAGCATCTTTAAATACTTGTGGCCTCATTTTGGACTCCATCTACGTTCCAGTAACACAAGAGATTTCTGTAGATTACTGTTCAATATACATGAGGATATTACAGCCTCAAGGGTCTCAACTAATGTATTTATTTTCCAAAACATAAAGAGGTGTGTGATGCAGTCTTTAATACAAAAATAAAAGCTGTTGAAATGTTCTGTCTTTGAAGTTGTGTGAAGTTTGTGTGCATGACGGTGAAAGCTTTTATATAATGAAAGCCCCATTCAGTCAGCTTCAGCTCCCATCCCACTATCGTCACTGTCAGGTCGAGGAGTGGCGCCCCCAGTGAAAGGATGCTTTCAGCAGCAAGTCGATGAAATGTACCTCACCCTTCTTACGGAGTTTTGGTCTGTGGTCCGTGCACTTTTAGGTCAGAGGAAACCCAATGCACTGAGGAGACGTGCTGGACTGATGGAGGGTTAAATACTGAAGGCCAAAGGGCAAAACCCCAGTCCATCACCGCACAATCTGTTGTTGTTGACAATCTGAGCAACCGTTCAACTGTAGCGATCTTTTTCTCTTGGAAGCACCCATCAAGTCCCACTTAAGACCTGCGTAGACAGCTGGCCAAAGTCCTTGAGGTTTGGCATCTACGTAAATTTAAACTCATTGCATGTCAAAATGTAGGTCAGCCACATGGACATCATCTCGTCTTTCTTGGGGGAAATGGCTGCGGTAAAATGTATTTGGCCGAGTTCGGCTGTTCTGTTGAAAGTCACTGCGTCACAAGTGAAATCAAAATCATGGCAACTATGTATTCAGTAATCTCAAAGCCACAAAATACCTTTGCCTGTTCATTTAAAGGGACAGTTCACCCCCAAATCAAAAATACATATTCTTCCAATCACCTGTAGTGCTATTTGTCAGTCTAGATTTTTTTGGTGTGAGTTGCCAAGTGTGAAAGATATCGGCCGTACAGATTTCTGCCTTCTCTCAAATACGATGGGACTACATGGCACTCAAGCTTGTTTCGGCGAATGTTGGGCCGTTTTCAGGCCAGCTGCGAGCGTTTAGACACGCAGAGCTGAATTGGAGCCCAATTTTCCGCCTCGTAGGGTAGACATATTAGTGGAACCTTTTTGGTTTAAAAAGAACGAGGTGCCCTTCCGCCACGGGAGGGGCTGTTGATGACTTGTGGGAGGAGCTGTTGATGATGTCATACATGCGACCCACTGGCGGTGGACTAACAGGTAACAGCTGATAGCAGGAATTAGCAAGCAGCTAGTAGAAAGAGGGAAAGGCAAACCTGAAAGACACTGTAAAGATGAGCAACTAAGGAATTGCGTGCCCTCCTTGTCCTCGCAAACAAAGAGGACTGACCAGCCGCGGCTTCCCTCGGAGTACGTCACTGTTTACGTCACACGCTGAGCTACACGTTTTGTTACCTGCTCACGCCCCCCATTGCCCCGAAAAAGGCGCATTCTGTATAAACAGCAGTAGGCAGGCGGCATTTTGCTGCACTCCCCGATTTTGTTTTTATACTGCCAATACTGAACGAAGACTGATTGGGCTTTCCTGCAAATTTGCACAATTCCTTTTTAAAAAGGGCTCATATCACCGTGCAGAAGGAAGCATGCGTCTACTGCTAGCTCATCTAGCTAACGTTACAGCTCAACCAAGGGGAACACCATTAATATTTACATCTCGCGTTGACACAAGCACAAGCCTCTGGTCCATGAGTAGATGCACGCTTTCTTCTGCGCTGTGATACGCTTGGTGGGTGTTGATCAGTAAAAAGAAAAAAGTTGCTAAATGAAACTGCTCACATCAAGATCTGTGGATTATCTTGTGTAACCGGGTCATGATTTCTAGAAAGAGACATTGCTGTTGAGTTTTTTAAAAGTAATTTTGTGGTCATGGAGAGCCGTCTACTTCCATTACTTTCAAGAGAAGATAGACATCTCTATGGCCGATATCTCCCACACCAAAACAATCAAGACTGGTAAACTGCACTACAAGTAAGAGGAAAAATATGTGTTTATGTTTTCAGGTGAACTGTCCCTTTAGACTCATTGTATATCAACATTTTGGTCAGTTAAATAGACATCATGTTGTCTTTCTTCAGATAAATTGCAGCGCCCAAATGCACGAGCCTAATTTGGCTCTTCTGTTGAGTCATTGCGTCACAAGTGAAACCAAAATCATGGTAACTACATGTTTGGTGATCTTATCTAAGCCACAAAATACCTTTGCTTGTTCACTTTCAATGTACAGAATTGTAACCTCAATGCAGCAGTTGACAGTAACCATATTTTCATCTCTATTTCCTCAAAGTAAAGCCATAGCAGTGTCCTTGCTATTAAAATAATTCAGTATTATTTTACAAAAATATAACTAGAAATGTATGTCAGATGTCTCTTCATCCTGGATTCCCTCATTAAAAACTTTGCTGTAAACAAAAAAGAAAAGTCAGTTCCAGCCTCTTTTTTTCTTGACCCTACTTTCAGGTGTTTTCTCTGACCAGCACATATTTAATCAGACGCATGGAGCCTCTTTTCCCTCTCCACGATGTTCTGTATCGTCCCATCCTCTTCCTCTGACCCCTCCAGCTCACCACCAGCAGAATAGAGCAACAGCAGCTCAGCAGCACTGTGATACAAATGGCCACTGCAACCAGCAAAGTGTGAGCAGCTACGTGCCACCCAGGTCCCAAACTCCCGAGGGTGTCTTCCCCGCTGACACCCTGGCCTGCCTCACTGCCTGCAGTGTGGTTCCTCCCCAGACTGCCCTTGGTGTCATTAGGATATTGCTGGCTGCTCTGTATGCTGCCTATAAAGGCTGTTGAAGTTGGAGGGCTGGTGGCCAGCTGAGAGGTGCTGGTGGTGTGATGATGGGTGGGAGATGTGGGGGGCTGTGCAGTTGTGGTAGAGAAGACAGGAGTCATCTGGGGATCGTAAGCGCTGAGGGTGGCTGCTGCGGTGGATGAAGGAGGCGTAGTAAAGCTGGGTGCAAAAGAAATAGTGGAGGGGGTCAGGGCTGTTTCTGCTTCACCCCCTGAAGCTTGTGGAGCCTCTGGAGTGGAGGATAAGTTATCTGTAGCAGTGGGAACTGTTGAAGGCTGACTGGTGCTCTGCAGCATAGTGGTACTGGTGCCAGTAGTGGTTGTGGTGGTGGTGAGGGGTTTAACTGTGGGTGCTGAAGTCAGAGGCAGAGCAGCAGGTGGAGGTGGATGAATGAACTGGCGTTTGTCTGAGGGCAGCGGCTCTGAGGCGTTGCCTCTGCTGTAGTAGTGGGGCAACACACGTACGTTGGAGGTGAAGTATTTTCCAAACACCAACAGGTCAGGATCCACACCTGGGAGACAAAGACATGGCTGTCACGACTCATCTATAGGCTTTTCGTTGTGTTTTACACTTTTTGCTGACAAACAACATAATTGCTTAAAAAAGTGTCTTATAGGGGCATCGGTGGCTTGGTGGTGGAGCGGGCGCCCCATGTGCAGGGCTGTTGCCGCAGCAGCCCGGGTTCGACTCCAGTCTGTGGCCCTTTGCACTCCCCCTCTCTCTCCCCCCTTCACGCTTGTCTGTCCTATCAAATAAATGCTAAAAATGCCCCAAAAAGTATCTTAAAAAAAAGTGTCTTATATTGTGTGTATATATATATATATATATATATAGATATAGATAGATAGATAGATAGATAGATAGATATAAATAAATGTTTAGAAAAAAATCTGTCCATTGATGAATTTAAGGGCATCATAAAGAATGTGCTGATACAGACATGTGCTTGTTTTCCTTGAGAGGCCACTATGTTTGAATAGTTGTTTTACTGTGGATTTTTGTATTATATGTTGTATTTGTTGCATGTTAAATGTGTTTTTTTATTGGCTGCTACCTCAGCCAGGTCTCTCTTGTGAAAGAAATTTTCAGTCTCAGTTCCTGGTTAAATAAAGGTTAAATGAAATAAAATAAAAGAATTAAATTACTTTATTAAAATACATTTTACAATCAGGCTTCAGGAAAAAGCATAGTACCATCACAGCTGCAATGAAGGTGGTAAATGACATTTATGTTGCACTTGACAAGAAACAACATTGTGCATCTCTTTTCATTGATTTGTCGAAAGCGTTTGACACAGTTGACCACGATATTTTAAAACTTAGACTCTTGCAATCAGGACTCTCGGAGCAAGCAGTTACTTGGTTCACCAACTATCTCAGTAATAGGACTCAGTGCATTAAATATGATGGCCTGTGTTCTGATATTGTTACTGTCCACAAGGGGGTGCCGCAGGGTTCTGTATTAGGTCCCCTCTTATTGATTATTTATATCAGTGATTTGGGTATAAATGTGACAAATGCTAATTTGCATTTCTGCATTGTGTTGATGACACAGTTCTTTACTGCTGTGGATCAACTCTTGTTCAGGCCACTGAATCCCTGCAGAAAGCCTTTGTTGCTGTCCAGCACGCATTACTTCAGCTGAAACTTGTTCTCAGTGCAGACAAGACTAAGCTTATGCTATTCTCAAATTCTGGGAAGAGGCCACAAATTATCCCCTCAGTGTCCACTCTCAAGGGAAATGAAATAGAGGTGGTTCACGCGTATAAATACCTGGGTCTTTTGATTGATGTCTCCCTCACTTTCAAGCCGCATATAGAGAAACTAGTGAAGGAGCTGAGGATAAAACTGTTTTTTTACTTTTGAAATAAGCTATGTTTTTCTTTTAATGCAAAAAAGCGACTTGTTGCTGCTACCTTTTTACCAGTGTTGGATTATGGAGATCTTTTATATATGAATGCGTCTGCTAAATGTCTTCATATGGTTGACACTGTCTATCACGCTTCTCTGAGGTTCATTACTAATTGTAAACCATTGACACACCACTGTGAGTTATACTCTCGGGTTGGATGGGCTGCTCTGGCCACCCGAACGCTCAGTCATTGGTATACTTTTATATATAAGGCATTACTTGGTCTACTGCCTTCCTACATTTGTTCCTTAATTGCGCAGAGAAGTGCTGGTCCTTACTCCTTTCGTTCGCAAGACTACTTGTCGCTTTCTGTTCCATATGCCCATACTGAATTGGGTAAAAAGGCTTTTGTCTACTCTGCACCTTCAGCATGGAATATGTTGCAAAATGACTGGACACTAACAGGGTTAATTTCTTTGAGCGCCTTTAAATCCAAACGAAGAATACTTGAGGCCGACTCCGTTACATGTACTTGTTTTTCATAATCTGCTTGTAAATTCAATACTTTTTTCTTTTATTTGTTTGTGTTTTATCTGTGTAGTTTGTAACTGTGTTTTGTACTTGCTGCTGCCTATCTTGGCCAGGTCTCCCTTGAAAAAGAGGTTGTTAATCTCAATGGGATCTTCCTGGTTAAATAAAGATTAATAAATAAATAATACATTTTACCTTTATTATTAGTAGTAGGTCTCACTGATACAAATAATACTTGTAAAAGTGCACTAGTTTTGGTATTATTCATTATTTTGTAATAATTATTTTATTTATATCTTTTTTTGTATTTTTGTCTTTTTTTTAATCTTGGCTCATTTTTATTTTAATAATTAATCACTCACTTTTTTAATTATTTTTCTCTTTTCTTTTGCTTCTGACTCTTGTGCTGCTGTAACATGTGGGATCAATCAATCAATCAATCAATCAACCATTGTTTATTCAGGACTGAGCATTAAGCTCTTTCACAGCAATGCCCTGAGTTCACATTCAATGGGGTAGCAGGACACAAATATATAATAGTGATCACAATAAAGTCCATAAGAACTAATAAGTAGCAGCAATGTCTATCAAGTATTATAAACAGCAATGAAAAAAACAATCAGTAAAAATATGAAAAAGTTAAATAATAATAAGAGTCTGTTGTTAAGGACGCATTCAACTAACCAAAGCACAAACACTGTAAAACACCACTTAAAATGATCTATCAACACATACCTGTCTAATTTAAAAACTCTTGTAACTTGTTGCATTTATTTAGTGCGAAAAAACTAAAAGCTTATTTACCAAGTTCAGTAGTGATCTGAGGGGTCTCAGTGGGTTAATTTATCTTAGTAGAAAAATGTACTTAATATATCAGAAGTAAAAGTAGCTGTCCCTATGAATGCTGGTTTATTATTACTGATGCTTTTGTGTGTAACCAGGATTATCATGTTGTAGCTCATCAAGGTGGTGATAATTTTAACTGCTAGAATTACAGTAACAACTGTTTTATTAGAGGATCACATGTTTTTTATGCATAAATTTGAATTTGCACAGTAACTGGTGCTTTCAAATAAATGTAGTGGAGAAATATGTTCAATATTTCTCATAAAAGAAGTAAAAAGTGGCAGAAAATAGGAATACTCAAGCAAAAATAGTACAAAAAATGTACCTTAAGTACTCGAGTAAATGTGTAACTTACTTTTAATAACTCATAGGTGTGGTTGCAGTGTTGCATTATGTCTCTTGAGAGCATTTACATTTTTTTGACAATGTACTGGGCCCTGGTTGTAGTCTATATGCATACAGGCAGAGTAAAATAGGGAGGAATGTTCAGTATTAAACCATGTACTTTACTTACCCTTTGTGACATTGTACAGAACAACGTTTCCTCTGTGGCTGAGAATGCAGCTCTCCAGTGTTGGGCAGTGCAGGTGGAAACAGTTGGCGTTTTCTTGAGTGGTATCGTAGTGAAATATGGCCAGATTACAGGAAACTGAGAGAGAAGTCACAGTGAATACCACATAGTTGAATATTTATGACTGATTAATTAAAGAAGCAGGACTCACAGTTCCTCGTGAGGCAACAGGTGCGGCTGCATTTCAGCGCCGTCTCCTCCTGTTAATACTTGAGAAGCTGAGCTCCTCTCCGCTGAGACTCCTCGATATCGATGAAAATCCCGGGAAAGCGTCGGATCCAGCAGTTCTTATAATAAGAGGTCGGTGAGCACCTCGACTCAGTGTGGCACACCAGACTCAAAACCGTCAGCAAACCCCATGTGACATTCATCGCGCGTGATGGAAATCAGACCATGTTAAATTACAATCTGGGCAAAGCATCGACATATCTGTGGGGCTGATTGCTCGGAGGTGACAGGCATGAAGTGGAGCAAGTGGTCTGGTTTTACTGGTGCCAGTCTCTCTTCAGGTGTGTCACAGCTACGCACCTGGAGGAGGAGGAGACCGGTGTTGCGTGTAAAGCTCAGCCACGGCAACAGATCAGGCTGTCTCTGACAGAAAGGCACCAACTACTGTAGGATTTTTAATAATTAGTCAAATTTTATGACTATAACAAACAGCACAACAAATCTGCCTCATATTCATACAAATGTAGGACTATCATAGGATTATACAGGGGTGGGACACAAAACAGTAACACCTTTAGTAGGCTATAATAAAGTCAAATATCTCTCAGAATATAATCTCCTTCTGAAGTTGATCATATCACACAATCGTCCTCAGCAGGTGAAAGTGACCTGTCATGAAAACTTTCCATTTTCATTTTATTCTGAGCACTTTAAAGGGATAGTGCACCCAAAAATGCAAATTCAGCCATTATTTACTCACCCATATGCCAAGGGAGGCTCTAGTGAAGTTTTAGAGTCCTCACATCCCTTGCAGAGATCCAAGGGGAGAGTGGGTAGCAGCACAACTCCACCTAATGGAGGCTGACGGCGCCCCAGATTCAAACGTCCAAAAACACATAATTGAAACCACAAAATATCTCCATACTGCTCGTCCATAGTGATCCAAGTGTCCTGAAGCCCAACATAAAAAGTTGTTTGGAAAAACTTCATTTAAACAGAGAGGCAGTTAGAGCTACAGGCTACAATGAGGCTAAAAACAGAGTTCAAATGACGTTTTTCCAAACAACTTTTTACGTCGGGGCTTCGGGACACTTGGATCACTACGGACGAGCAGTATGGAGATATTTTGTGGTTTCAATTATGTGTTTTTGGCCCCCATTAGGTGGAGTTGTGTTGCTAACCCCTCTCCCCTGGGATCTCCGCAAGTGTGGTGAGGACTCTGAAACTTCACCTGAGCCTCCTTCGGCATATGGGTGAGTAGATATTGGCTGAATTTGCATTTTTGGGTGCACTTTCCCTTTAAGGACTTGTTTCCTTGTTGGCTTAACAACTGAGACTGGAAGTTCATTCTTGACTTGGAAAACATCAGTCGACAAAAAGACTTGCTCTTTAACATTTGTCATATTTTTCAAACACAGTTTTATTGTATAAGGTCAGGAATGAACTTCCAGATATTTGACTTTATAGCCTACTAAAGGTGTTACTGTTTTGTGTCCCACCCCCGTATACCCTCCCGAGACCTGAACTTTTGTTAAGTATGCATTTTTAAAACTTCCTAGGTATTTGCCTGTGGATATTCTCATTCATCCAGGTCATAGTTATCTCAAGGCAACTGAATCGAACACAACTGGACTTGGTTTTGTCTTAGAAGACGTTTCACCTCTTATCCAAGAGGCTTCATCAGTTCATGCTTGTCAGACTAGGCTGGAACTAGTCTGACAAACTGGTGTGGAAGCACCCAGGTATTTAGCCTCTGGGGAGGTCTTCACAAGGCCAATGATGTCATTGGTGCGTTAGTGGTCCAATGGTGTGTCAATGACAGTCGTTGAAACTCCTGGATGAGTGGTGTAGGAGAAAGTACACTCCTTTGAAGACAGAAGTGTGCACATTTTTGACAGGGAAGACAGGTGGTTTGAAAGAGGTGTAAAAGAAGCCATCTATGTGAAATTGGAAAAACCATCTCTCAGTAGAGGAGGTGGTCTGCAACACCACCTATCCCCCATCTATCATGCTGTCCTTTTATCCTTGCCCAGGAGATTTAACAACTTAACCTCTAAAAACAATGGTTGTTCACAAATGGCCTCATGTGACTCTAACGACTCCATCGACCACCGTTGCAGCAGTAGTTTCAACGACCGTCGTTGACACACCATTGGAGCACTAACGAACCAGTGACATCATTGGCCTTGTGAAGACCTCCTCAGAGGTTAAATACCTGGGTGCTTCCACACCAGTTTGTCAGACTAGTTTCAGCCTAGTCAGACAAGCATGAACTGATGAAGCCTCTTGGATAAGAGGTGAAACGTCTTCTAAGACAAAACTAAGTCCGGTTGTGTTTGATTCAATTGCCTTGAGATTCCTAGCTATCTGGCATCAGTATGACCTTATAAGTATAAAAAACTAAATATTGTCAATGGTAATTAAGTCCCAGTGTCTTCAAACGAGATAACAATAAAGTCCCAATGTCCCCAAATGAGATGATAATAAAGTCCTAATGTAAAAGGAGTACTTCCTAATTAACAGCTTCTTATCTTGTTACTGTTGCTAACATTGGTCAAATTGGTTGCCATGTCAAACTACAAACATTATCAATCATAAATAAACAAGATTCAACCATAAAATCTGATCGCATTTTGTCCGCTTTTGTGTAGTGCTGTTGTGTTTTGTGCAGACTGACTTGGCAGAGATGGCTGCCATCTTGTTTTTACATGTATTAGTGTGCTGTGCTCTTGCTACCACTGGACGGCACAAAAAGTGTCCACGAACGAAGACAACAAGTCTAAGTGAAGTAGAATGACGTATAAGGTCATGTAAACCCAAAATGTGATGTCTTCATTCAATTTTATTTATAAAGCCCAATACAGTATATTCTTTGCTTTACAGTATATGACATCCCTCTGTCCTTGGACCGTCACAGCGGATAAGGAAAAACTCCCCAAATCACTCACACTAACTAACTCACATACATCTGAAGGCAGGGGAGGGAGGAGGTGTGTAATGTTAACGTCCTCAATGACTTGTCTCTCTTCTTTCTGGAAAATGAGTTTTGGTGTTTTGAAATTAAAATACAGGAAGATGTTCCTGTAATTCTGTCCACTCCTGTGTATGTGTGCATTTTGGGCATAACAAGGCAAGACCTCTAGACTGCTGTCCCTCTGTAACATGTAGGACTCTTTGATTAGGCCTGTGAATATTCCTGTCAATGGGTTTGGATGCAGGTATTACTGAACCACACAGTGAGTCACTGTAAAGTAATTCTTGCTCAGGAACCAGGCTGTAACTCTTCTCTCTGTGAAAAAACAGACGATCTGTTTCCAGCTAGGTCAGACACCTGAGAGTGGATTGCCATAACTGGAACAATCTGACTGAATTCTTTCAATTGGGATTATCAGAATAAGCCTTCAGCTCATTGGTTTGGGATTTGTTACACCTGTTAGGCTGTTTGTCTCACCTTTTGTGAGCCAGTGACGGAGCACTGTGCCACGTTCTCGGTTTACACCTGGGAGTTGAAAGCACCTTTCTGAGTAAACAGCTTATGGAGTGAAAAGTGTGTAGGATATAATTTAAGGGTAAACTATTCTGTGGAAATAGATTCAAATAGAAATCATTCATACTCACATGGACAGATATGCTTTTAATCAGATTCCATATTTTCGGTAGTTTGATTTTCTCTCATTTGTATGAACAAAAAATGTCTAAAAGATGACACATCCCACAAATAACAGTATAGTGACTTAGACTGAAGAGTAAAGACAGTGTAAACCTTACACCAAAACTCATTTGGTGTGAAACAAACATTGGTGGATTATATATTATATTGAATTATACCAGCATGGCCTCAAAGAAAGAGTGTCATGAAGGTTAAACTCAAGTAACCAGCCTGAGAATCAGCGCATCATCAACCCAGTCTAAAGTTTCATCATCAAAATTGCATAGTTGATGTCGACAGGAAAAGAGTAGTAATGTCTCAGCACCACCAGATGGAAGTGTTCACCTCCATTAAACAGTAGCTGAGTCCCACTAACAGTTTGCAATATGTACCATACACTTAACGGGGTATTTTTTTTCCATTAAAATTAAATTCAAAATATCAATATATTTTTGTGCTAACATAATAATATCAAACTCTGGAATGATACTGCCAATTAAACATCACAAAGAGGGACTTTCTGACAGGCTTAGCTGAGACTGACAGAAACTGATTCACCAATTGTTCCATTAATGGTATCAATTAATCGTAACAGTCATTTCTAAAGCTTTCTCCACTCTCTTAAATGTGAAGATTTGCTACTCATACCGGAATACCTTTAACTTTGTTCAAATGAAATGAGCAATCAAAAGACATCTCCTTCAACTCTGGGATCTTGCAACAGGATTTCTTTACTATTTTTTTGACATTGTACTGTCTAACAATTTGACAAGATTAATCAACACATCAACCAGTATTGAAAATAACTGTAAGCTGCAGTTCTGTATGCTTACCTTTTTGTTTTCTGACATCTTCTTGGAGCTGTAGCACCTCCATCTGCAATCAGATTTAATGTCTCGCAGCTGGAAGCCTTCACTTCCTTTGTGTGTATTGCATTGTGGGACAATCAACAGCACTCTCAACAATTGAGCAGATTCAGTGTAGGTGACTTTTGTCACCTCTTCAAAAACCTGCTCACCATTAGTATGTAGCTAGTGTGAAATTAGGACAGAGCTTACATGCAAACAAAAAAGTTTATTTTGGGTGTGTCCATGCGATGGACAACCAAGAAAGGACAGCAGAGGACCCACACACCAATACAATAAAAAGTGCACTGATGATAGTCAAGGACTGAAACATTTGCTGCTGTGTATTAATTTCTGCACTTTGAGCACCCCTCTTTTCGTGCACGGCTGTTCTAAATAAACTGACTTTTTTTTTTTGCATTGATCTCAGCCTGTGAACCTTTTTGGTGGCTGTCCATCCCAGTTGTATTGGTGTGCCGGTATCTATGGAGTTAGATTTGTGTCTTTATTACATGCAAGAAAATAATTGATATGAGAGAAAAAAAAATGTTTGAGAGAAAAAGCTTTCACACTGATAGCAAAAAATAATAATATTTGAGACTAAAAAAAGTTTTGAGATAAAATATTTTGTCATAGAATAAAAAAAAAATCATAATTTAAGATTTAAAAAATGATTTCCGGGAAAAAAAAAACTCTCTTAAAAAACTTTTTTTACTCTCAAATATTATTTTTTTTTTCTATCAGTGTGAAAACATTTTCTCTCTCAAAAAAAAAATGTTTCTCTCAAAACATTTTTCTTCTCTCTCTCAAAACCCGTCTTTGCTCTCGTGTCAGGATTTTGCTTTCTCTGCGAAAATAATGTCATGGGCGGGGCCACGTTCCTATTGGCCAGTTTCAATTGAATTGACAGCTGGGTGAGGATCGTCTTGGGAGTCGAATTCAACTGAATCATTCATCCACCATGGTCGATTCACCGGCATAGATGTGCTGCGTTATTTGGGAGCGGAGACTCCAATGTTTGGGTAAGATGATGCCACAGATGATGAATGATTCAGTTGAATTCGACTCCCAAGACGATCCTCACCCAGCTGTCAATTCGATTGAGACTGGCCAATGGGAACGTGGCCCCACCCATGACATTAAGCAAAATCCTGATATGAGAGCAAAGACTTGGGTTTTGAGAGAGAGAAGAAAAATGTTTTGAGAGAAACAATTTTTTTGAGAGAAAATGTTTTCACACTGATAGAAAAAAAATAATATTTGAGAGTAAAAAAAAGTTTTTGAGAGAGGTTTTTTTTCTCGTTAATCATTTTTTAAATCTCAAATTATTTTTTTTATATTCTATGACAGAATACTTTCTCTCAAAACTTTTTTTAGTCTCAAATATTATTATTTTTTGCTATCAGTGTGAAAACTTTTTCTCTCAAATATTTTTTTTTTCTTTCATATCATTTATTTTCTCGCATGTAATAAAGACACAAATCTAACTCCACAGTATCACCTCTGCCATCCTTTCTTGGATGACAACACCCTGCCCATCATGTACATACTGTTATAAGTGTGCTACATATTGCAGTCAGTTGAACAGATGGCAAAAAAACTCAGCGACAGAGGAGTTATGTAAAACACTTGTATTTTCATCTGACACTTCAGGGCAAGTTATGGTTACAGTCAACCTCTGTAATCAGCTTACAGATCTAAATCTGGTTCAAGTTAGCAGTGTTATTATGTGCCTTTTGTTGTAGTCAGATCATTTTCAATCAAAAACAGTGAGACAATACGAGAAACATTTAACATTAAACATCAAACAAAGTTAATACAATAGCTCTTTTAAATCATTTTAGCCTCTTTATCTTCATAACTCTGTGTAGAGGAGATGGATGTGGCACTGTACATAATTACTCAAATAACACAAACGATTGGCACCAAAAACAGTGATATTTTATGGATGTGCAAAGGAGGGATTCTCAGTCTACTTTTATTATCATCTCTTCCCATTGTATTTCATATTTAAGTCACTAGGTGGCACCCTGAGGCAGCCCAACTCCTCCTCAAACATCCCCTGCACATGCATGTGTGTAAAAGAATCTAAATCAAAAACAAGCACTAGTAAAATGAGATGAAAAACACCACCAATTACAACTTTCTCATGCAGGTCTTGTTGGCTAGGTTTGGCTCCTTTGGTATAGAGACCACAGCGCATCATGGTCCTCTTCTTCTTCTTTTTTTTTCCTTGCCACTTTTCACACAAAGGCTGTTTCAGCTTCCACAATCCCAAATCCACCTCTTCCTCAGCAGTAGTAGTGTTCCTGGGCATGCTGACAGAGCCAGTGTTTCTCTGGGCGTCTGACCGAGTTGTATGGTTTCAGCTTTAAGCTTACGGAGGAAGTAGTTCATTGTTTAGTGTTGTTGCTCACTGAGGTGCTACAATGGGTCTAGAGCAGGTGAGTTCCAACTGTGTCAGTCTTTGACTAGCCTGTAAATATGATGCTGTGCGCCGTGCTCACTGGTGGACACCTCGAAGACGTAGGCTATGCACAGGAGGGTTTCCAGTGTGTCCCTGTTAGTCACCACCTGTGGACAAACACAGAGAGTCCTGATCAGTCAAACTGTGGGGGTTAAAACCAATTAAACCTTAGTTACCCATGTTTTTACTGCTAATATTCAATCTAGTAACATTTGTCCAGTTTGGAGAGAAATTTGCAATCCTTTGAAGAGTGGAGGAGCCTTTGACAATATACAATCAATTATAAAACTCTATTAAAATCCTTAAAAACTCAAGTGGGACCCACTGACAGTTTAAAAAACAAATACACTAAACAATCAATACTACTTTTCTGTAGGTCTTGTCCAGAATTGACCTCCATCACAGAGGCAGTGGACGACATGATTGACCAATATCTGGTATCAATTAAAATCCTAATATTAGCACAACATGTTGGTTTGTATTAAGGTGATTTTTTAACTTACTTAAATTAGTTAATAAGCGGTTCACAGGACTACACAAGAGAATATCGATACTTTTGATACTACATATTTAAATCAACACTATCTCCATTAATTTTACATCCAATACTAATGAAAGTACAGAAGCTATAAAAAACAGGGACCGGCTGCACAAAACACCTTAATATTTCTCCTTAAGTATGGCATTAGGGCTTAATTCCTCCTTAGCTGAGGGACTTTTACAGTTGCACAGAATCCCTTAAAAGATTTCCTAAATATTAACTCATTTACTATGTTGACAGAGATTTCACAGCAAAGAAGTTTCCATGGAGTTTGTTTGCTTGGACTCAGGCTCATGATGCCTGTTTTCGCCTCACAAAGTTGGCCAATAGTTAGATAGTGAAAAAATGGCAGAAGATAGGAAGACAGGAAAACCATATTGGTCAGAGGAGGAAAAGATTATATGTCTGGTGGAATACAATTATAGAAAGCACAAACTGCAAAGTAAATTCGATCCCCTTATACCAGAAAAAGGAAAATGACTGCAGGAAGAAACTGCAACGAAAATTAATTCAGTCAAATCTAAAGTGTCAAATCAGAAGCGTATCCATTTGGTTCTCCTGGTCGCAGAACACTCCTCTCAGAGTGTTTTTATTTTCACCATAATCTCGGTCATGTTGCAGTGAAGACAGAGTCAGAGGTACCTTAAGTGTTTTTTACCTTGCTTTGGTTGCTAAGATCTTTTGTGCAGTCTAGGGATTCCTTAAGTATAAGACCAAGACAAGGAGAAAAACCATAAATACTTAAGTCAACATTTTAAGGAAATTTTTTTAAGAAGACTCACGAGTGTTTTATGCAACCAATTTTATTTTGAGGAAATCTTACCTAGGACGTAATGAAAATCTTAACTTGAGGTGTTTTGTACAACCGGCCCCAAATTTTTAACCCAAGCTGTATTTGTTATAAACATTATTATAAATCTGTTGGTAGGTGTTCAGTGACCTTTTCTGTACCAACACTTTGTGCAGGCTGTTGACAAAAGCAAAATAGAAAAATGATCCCATTTTGTATGCCTTGGACTTTTTTCTTTTTGTCATGATGTCAGAAGACATAATGAATATCTATTTTTAAAACCAGTATTGTACCAGAGTGTAAAATTTCTGTGAAAGTTCTTAACCTTTTTTACTATGACACCTGTTTATACACTATGTTGTACATGCCTTTAAATTGTATTCAAATGTAAAAGAAAAAAGCAATGTCAATAAAGCAAATGTATTATATAAATTTAATTAAAATTTACTGACATTATATGATTCAGTTTCTTTGCTCTCAAACATAATTCAGCTACTTCTTTACAAGCAGCTCTTTAAATTCAGTCACCTTTTACAGCATGATTCATTACCATTAAGATCATTTTTCCCCTTAAAGGAGCATTGTGAAAATTTAGTGGCATCTAGCAGTGAGGATTGCAGATTGCAACCAGCTGAAACTTCTCCCAAGTGCCAAGCATGAACTCCCAGTTAAGATTTCTTAAGTGTTTATTGTTAAGGAGGTTTTTACTGGGAGCCGCATTACTTTCATTCAAGCAGTTTCACGTTACAAATCAGTGTTTTTTCTATGCTGTCCGGCATGTCGGAGACAGGCTGCTAGCCCAGCACCTGCTAAAGCTTGATCACCTTTTGTCTCTGATAACTTAAGATCCAGACATTCAGGACGTGTTTACCAGGAGCCCAATACTAGGAGCAGAGGTTTTTTCCTCTCCAAAACAAATGGAAAAGTTGAATTAAACTGTTAAAAACACTGAAAAAAGCAGTTTTACATTAAAAAACAAAACAAACAAAAAACAACATTTTTTTCACTGGTTGCAGTGGGGCTGCTAACTATGATGGGCAACACGGAAATGCAAATGGCCCTATCTACAGCCAGTGTTTAGTTTGTCCTTTCTGGGCTACTCTAGAAACGTGGCAGGGCAACAACTCTGCGGATGGGGACCCATTCTCTATGTAGGTATAAATGGCTCATTGTAAGATAATGAAACACAGCAATTCTCATTTTTTGGTGATTCCAGGAAATATAATCAT